AATTGTATTAGATTTCTGACCATTTGATGCATCTGTCATGTTTTCTGGTAAAACGGAATTTCGACAATAAGATTCGTCAGACACTTTTATTGCAGAATGATGAGGACCATTTGGAGCAGCTGGATTCAGTATACTGCCCGATTTGTTTTCTGTTTCTTTGTGGACTGGAACTGCAATACATTTACGAGCATTTAATATGAGATCTTCTTCCTGTGAGCTGGGTACATCACTGTCTGTACATGTTCCAGGAACAGTGGGATTTGAACCCACGACAGGGAATGTTTCGGAATTGGACATTTCTGGACAACTGGGCGGATCATGAATGACTGTCTCGTCTACATTACTGCTCGTCCGGGATTCACAGAGGCTTTTACAGACAGCTTCATATGTTGTGCAGTTGTTTTCGAGCTCAGTATGCAGATGAGAAATGAACTTACCAACTTCTGTTGCATCTCCGAAACATGGGAGATTTATCAACTGTGTGCGTAAATTTTCTACAAAAATTTAACTGGCTATTTTTGAAACACTGCTGTTGTTGCTCAAGTAGAAGCAGTAATTGATCGGAAAAGGTAGTCATTATTTTTCAGCACCAGCAATGAAAACTAACTGTAGGGATAATGACCAATGTTGCTGAAGGACGCTGATTGGTCGAAACAACTAGGCTGAATCTCGTCCAATTACAGGATTCCAAATTTTTCTCTAATCCGTCGCCACTTGTTATGACTTGAAGTTGACGGTTCAAAACTTTTCTCCACCCCGTCGCCAATTGTCGTGTCCGTGACTGAAAAGATTAGAGAGCAGTGTATTATAGATCGAATCAGTGACACGTAAAACACGCACGAACGGCCTACAGTTCTGATTGGTCCTGCTTCCCTGTCTAGCCCAGCCAGTTGAGTCCAGAACACAAGTCACAACCTCTGCGATATGAATCGTTATATTTGAAACACACTGTGCTTATATACCAATCAAGCATACCACATCGTACCATAAAATAGTAAACAACATTTTGTACAATATTTAACAAGTGAACAAATATCGACCAGTAGGAAATGTCCATTTAAAGTCCGAAGACACCATTGGACTTAACATGATAATTATTTGTATATTCCTCTGCATCCCTAACACCTCCCCTTATTTTGAAGATCCGGAGTTGATATCCGGATTTCTAAAATTTTCTGCGTCCGTCCTCCCCCACGAAATAATGTTGGGTCCTCATATACCCAAGTAACAGCTAGTCTGATTCTATTTAAAGCATATTTCCCGCATTGAGTAGAGGGTCCACTAGAACTGACTAGACGATGAGGATCAGCGACACTAGATATGAGGTCATTAAGTTTTGATTTTTGTGAAACATATTCATCAGACCTCTTCAAAATTCCATTAGTGGATAATAGATCACTAAAATAAACAGCATCTATCAAAATTGTATTAGATTTCTGACCATTTGATGCATCTGTCATGTTTTCTGGTAAAACGGAATTTCGACAATAAGATTCGTCAGACACTTTTATTGCAGAATGATGAGGACCATTTGGAGCAGCTGGATTCAGTATACTGCCCGATTTGTTTTCTGTTTCTTTGTGGACTGGAACTGCAATACATTTACGAGCATTTAATATGAGATCTTCTTCCTGTGAGCTGGGTACATCACTGTCTGTACATGTTCCAGGAACAGTGGGATTTGAACCCACGACAGGGAATGTTTCGGAATTGGACATTTCTGGACAACTGGGCGGATCATGAATGACTGTCTCGTCTACATTACTGCTCGTCCGGGATTCACAGAGGCTTTTACAGACAGCTTCATATGTTGTGCAGTTGTTTTCGAGCTCAGTATGCAGATGAGAAATGAACTTACCAACTTCTGTTGCATCTCCGAAACATGGGAGATTTATCAACTGTGTGCGTAAATTTTCTACAAAAATTTAACTGGCTATTTTTGAAACACTGCTGTTGTTGCTCAAGTAGAAGCAGTAATTGATCGGAAAAGGTAGTCATTATTTTTCAGCACCAGCAATGAAAACTAACTGTAGGGATAATGACCAATGTTGCTGAAGGACGCTGATTGGTCGAAACAACTAGGCTGAATCTCGTCCAATTACAGGATTCCAAATTTTTCTCTAATCCGTCGCCACTTGTTATGACTTGAAGTTGACGGTTCAAATTTTTACCCGATTAGAGAGCAGTGTATTATAGATCGAATCAGTGACACGTAAAACACGCACGAACGGCCTACAGTTCTGATTGGTCCTGCTTCCCTGTCTAGCCCAGCCAGTTGAGTCCAGAACACAAGTCACAACCTCTGCGATATGAATCGTTATATTTGAAACACACTGTGCTTATATACCAATCAAACATACCACATCGTACCATAAAATAGTAAACAACATTTTGTACAATATTTAACAAGTGAACAAATATCGACCAGTAGGAAATGTCCATTTAAAGTCCGAAGACACCATTGGACTTAACATGATAATTATTTGTATATTCCTCTGCATCCCTAACACCTCCCCTTATTTTGAAGATCCGGAGTTGATATCCGGATTTTGAAATTTTCTGGGTTCATCCTCCCCCACGAAATAATGTTGGGTCCTCATATACCCAAGTAACAGCTAGTCTGATTCTATTTAAAGCATATTTCCCGCATTGAGTAGAGGGTCCACTAGAACTGACTAGACGATGAGGATCAGCGACACTAGATATGAGGTCATTAAGTTTTGATTTTTGTGAAACATATTCATCAGACCTCTTCAAAATTCCATTAGTGGATAATAGATCACTAAAATAAACAGCATCTATCAAAATTGTATTAGATTTCTGACCATTTGATGCATCTGTCATGTTTTCTGGTAAAACGGAATTTCGACAATAAGATTCGTCAGACACTTTTATTGCAGAATGATGAGGACCATTTGGAGCAGCTGGATTCAGTATACTGCCCGATTTGTTTTCTGTTTCTTTGTGGACTGGAACTGCAATACATTTACGAGCATTTAATATGAGATCTTCTTCCTGTGAGCTGGGTACATCACTGTCTGTACATGTTCCAGGAACAGTGGGATTTGAACCCACGACAGGGAATGTTTCGGAATTGGACATTTCTGGACAACTGGGCGGATCATGAATGACTGTCTCGTCTACATTACTGCTCGTCCGGGATTCACAGAGGCTTTTACAGACAGCTTCATATGTTGTGCAGTTGTTTTCGAGCTCAGTATGCAGATGAGAAATGAACTTACCAACTTCTGTTGCATCTCCGAAACATGGGAGATTTATCAACTGTGTGCGTAAATTTTCTACAAAAATTTAACTGGCTATTTTTGAAACACTGCTGTTGTTGCTCAAGTAGAAGCAGTAATTGATCGGAAAAGGTAGTCATTATTTTTCAGCACCAGCAATGAAAACTAACTGTAGGGATAATGACCAATGTTGCTGAAGGACGCTGATTGGTCGAAACAACTAGGCTGAATCTCGTCCAATTACAGGATTCCAAATTTTTCTCTAATCCGTCGCCACTTGTTATGACTTGAAGTTGACGGTTCAAAACTTTTCTCCACCCCGTCGCCAATTGTCGTGTCCGTGACTGAAAAGATTAGAGAGCAGTGTATTATAGATCGAATCAGTGACACGTAAAACACGCACGAACGGCCTACAGTTCTGATTGGTCCTGCTTCCCTGTCTAGCCCAGCCAGTTGAGTCCAGAACACAAGTCACAACCTCTGCGATATGAATCGTTATATTTGAAACACACTGTGCTTATATACCAATCAAGCATACCACATCGTACCATAAAATAGTAAACAACATTTTGTACAATATTTAACAAGTGAACAAATATCGACCAGTAGGAAATGTCCATTTAAAGTCCGAAGACACCATTGGACTTAACATGATAATTATTTGTATATTCCTCTGCATCCCTAACACCTCCCCTTATTTTGAAGATCCGGAGTTGATATCCGGATTTCTAAAATTTTCTGCGTCCGTCCTCCCCTGCGAAATAATGTTGGGTCCTCATATACCCATGTAACAGCTAGTCTGATTCTATTTAAAGCATATTTCCCGCATTGAGTAGAGGGTCCACTAGAACTGACTAGACGATGAGGATCAGCGACACTAGATATGAGGTCATTAAGTTTTGATTTTTGTGAAACATATTCATCAGACCTCTTCAAAATTCCATTAGTGGATAATAGATCACTAAAATAAACAGCATCTATCAAAATTGTATTAGATTTCTGACCATTTGATGCATCTGTCATGTTTTCTGGTAAAACGGAATTTCGACAATAAGATTCGTCAGACACTTTTATTGCAGAATGATGAGGACCATTTGGAGCAGCTGGATTCAGTATACTGCCCGATTTGTTTTCTGTTTCTTTGTGGACTGGAACTGCAATACATTTACGAGCATTTAATATGAGATCTTCTTCCTGTGAGCTGGGTACATCACTGTCTGTACATGTTCCAGGAACAGTGGGATTTGAACCCACGACAGTAT